CAGGCAAATTAGAAAAGATGAGAGGAGTTAAGGTATAAACAACACCAAATGAAAGCCAAATGACATCACAGCAGGCCATGCGCCCAAGGGTTAGACAGTACTAATAGAGGACTGCAGTGGGATTAGCTGAGTGCTCATGTAGTACACAGTACTATAGTCACATATCACACATTCATTTTATGGAGGAAAGTATTACACACTTTTCATCTTTGTAGTAATAACTTCCTAAGCTTATTAGCAGTAACGGTAGGAGTTAGAATAAAATAAAATATTGCTTTAAAATTATTTTGAAGTACTTATAGTGAGATGCACTATCAAGCTGACCCAAAAACATAAACAAATAGGTGTTCAAAAGTTAGTTCCTTGTTAAGAAGAAGAAAATAATTGATAGCAATTACCTAATTTTAGTGAAATAATATTATCCACCACATTAATTAGTGTTGTGTTGATTCTGTAGTCTTGTGTATACATAATTTGTACATTAATTTTAATTTTATAGTGCTGTAAGAGCTGTAAGAGGAAGGACTTTATACATGGTTTCATGAAAGTACAGATTTAAGTAATATTATAATATAAATAATTTAAGTAGACATCAGGGATTTAGGAGAATTATTTCCCTTCAAATAGGTCTGAACCTTATGCAAGTTTGGAAGATACTGGGCATTAAACCAAACTTTAGTTTGGTCTGCAAGGCCTTCCGCGATCTGGCCCAACATAATACCACAGCTTCATTTCCTGCCACTCTCCTACTCAAATCTGAGGTCCTGACAACACTGTAATTTCCATGTTTTTACTCTAGCTCTTCCCTCCACCCAGAACAAGCCATCTAAACCTACTCAGCTAAAACAACAAGCAGCACAGCCCATAGACATGCCTTGGGATTTTAATCCTCTCAGAATGATAATTAAGGATTATTTACTCAACCAAATAAAAGGATTCAGTATGTCTAACACCTCTAATGGTAAGAAGTGCATGAGGGACTCTCCCATGTTATTGAGAAGTACGGACTGGACACCTGAAAGGCCACAACACGGGAGGCAATAGGGCCCGGCTGAGAGAAGCCAGAGCCAAGATGGAGCTTCCTGGTCAAAACAGGTCTAGGCATTTCCCAAGTGTTTTGCTTTATAAATATGGGCTTTTTATCAGAAGAAGAGATAAACAACTCTGGTCTACATTGGTGCTAAACTTTTGGTCATGAATGTTGGTTCAGAAAAATTAAAAATCTATGCAGGCTGCATTTATTTTTCATTCAAAATAGATCATTTATGGAGCCCCAGGATGAAATCATATGTATTCTTAAAACACAAATTATATACTTTGACTATAAGACCACCAATGAGAAAAAAATCCTACTACTTTTCAGCTGCTAAAATGTTACTGTCTGAGTATATTTGAGAAGTAACAATACCCAAGGATCTTTTTAAACTCTTATCCTAAAGTTAGATCTAGGTGGATGACATGTGGCCTGCAGCTGGCAGCCCATTGATCTAAAGGAAAAGAAAAAACATTCCTTCTTGAGTCAGTCTGAGTTTATATTACTCAGGGATTCAGAAACAGCTTGTAACTTACATTTTACTTTCTACTTGCTTGTAGGTTTTTACAGTTCTAATAAAATTTCAGGTTTAAAATGCTTATCTATTGCCCTAGCCAGTTTGGCACAGTGGTTAGAGTGTCCGCCCTCGGACTGAAGGGTCCGGGTTTGATTCTGGCCAAGGGCACATGCCTGGGTTGCAGGCTCGATCCCTGGTCCTGGAGACAGGGCACATGTGGGAGGCAACCAATTGATGTCTCTCTCCCCCTCCTTCCACTCTCTCTCTGAAAAAGCAATGGGGGGAAAAAAATACTTACCTATTTATTTTTTTAATTAATTAATTAATTTATACATATGCTGCTTGTATTCTATATTCTACCTGTAGTAAGTTTAAGACAATTGTTTTCAAGTTTTTTTTTTTCTTCTGGATTTATTTTATTTACCTAAAGCAGTATTTCCCCAAAATAATCCATGGAGTACTAGTCCTACAAGGTATTCTGAGAAGCAGAGATTTTCAAAGTCAACTAAATTTGGAAAATTACGTATATGATATTCAAATCACATGAACGAAGTTTAGCTAAATACTCCGAGAAATTCTACAATAATAAAGCCTGTTTAGCCTTGTTTAATTCATTATTTCTCAGACTTATTTGAGCTTGAAATGACAAAAATAATTTTTTAGAAAGAGCATTTAACCACCTGTAGAACTAGTGTTCTTCGGAAAATGCTTTGAGATCTGCTGATCTAGCATCATCTAACTTCCCAAAGGGGAAGGGATTCTCAGATGAAGGAAAGACCCACTGAGAAGAGCGGAGGGATGACCCTTACCAGTATCCAGCTGAGTGAGGCTGAGGGAAAAGGGCCCATAGGAACTGGGGTGGCTTCAGCTGACCCAGACAGTTTAAGTCCAGAAGATTCCATTCAGGCTGCAGTGACCTGAGCAATCTCAGGCGAGCCAGGATAGCAATAACAACGACTACTGCTGTCCTTATTTCTGCTTCAATTCATTAATTGCTCAGGATGGGAAAGACACTATACACACATTATCTCTAACCACGTAAAACCCCTGCAATGTAGGTTTCATCCTCTCAGCTTTAGAGATGAGGAACCTGAGGCTGGGAGGAGGTGACATGAGTCCAGCAGAAGCAGGACTTAGTCTTAGACCTGTCTTACTGTTTCATACCAACTTAGTAAAGCTGCTTCATTGAGGTGACTGCTCTCCCTTTGTTCTCTAAGCCACTGATGCCCCTCTCTGGAGTCTTCCCTAACGGAAATAATTCTAGAGCAAAACTGGTTAAACCATTCGTTATTTTGGCCCACTTAACCAAGCCGTGTCTGGTTTCCTCTATGAACCAAATATTTGCCCATTCTAAATCTGATAAGACCTCTGATCACCTAGGCATGAAATGGTATTTTGAAATTACTTCTCAAGGCTCTTTAAGAATCACACAAGAAAATCGATCTTAACTGTCAAAGCCAACTCAAACACCTATAGAGGCCAAGCAGGTAACATAACCGAGAGGAGCTGGTCAGGAATGAGACAACAGTTGGTGACAGACACGGTGATGATCTAGAGAGAAAAGTGTTCCACCAAAGGGCTTAACTGTTTCTTAACTTTGGCACATTATTGTCAAGCAGAAGCATGAGCCCAGTATTGCTTGATCCTTTTTTTTTTTTTTTTTTTTTT